TGGCCTCCCCCTCCCACCAGCTGGGTGATCTTGGGCAGGCTATTGAGTTCTTGGTGCCTAAGTTTTCTCATCAGAGGTGCTCCTGTGACCTATCTTGAAGCTTTGGGAGGTGGACTGAGTGAGATACGGATGCAAATCACCCAGCCCAAGCCCCACAGTTGGTAGACATTAGTTCTCTATTACTATATTTTGTTGAACCTAAGATTGCAAGATGTACCATTATTTTACGATCCACTAAGAAAGAAATACCACTGTTAGTGAATTGTGAGACACCTTGAAATGGATGAGATACTGTATTATTGGGAGGACAAGTGGGGAGTGGGTAGGAAATGGGAAAGTCAATCTCTATGGCTGTAGTTTCCCACTTGAGACACATTCTGGAATCCAGTGCCCAGCTTGCATCCCTGTAAACCGAAACCTCTGGAATACGGCCAGTAATCACTCTGTGACTTGGTTTCCCCACATACAAAACTGAGATAATTACAGAATCTACTTCTTAAATGAGAGTTGATTCACCTAAGTGGTTTAGAATAGTACCAGGCCCACAGAAATGCTGAAATGAATGCTAACAACTATTCCTCTCTCCACCCCCAGGTCCGGGCACAGGCTAGGTGCCTTCTGAGTGTTGGTTGATGCAGGAATAGACATGATCATGTGACTGCTGCCCTCCCTCCACCCCTCATCCAGCAGAGAGAGGCCCACTCTGGCCCCTGGAAGCCCGAGAAGAGGCTCACCTGCCCAAGGGCCTTCCGTCCAAAGTTCAAGGGAGCCCCACCCCTCCCGGATGCTTAGCTCACCCCACCCCGCCCCCACCCAGGCAGGGCTACAGTGTGGTGGGCACTGCCACACCCGGACCTGCCACAGCCTTTTGGAGTCGGTGACAAGAACCAAACCTCCCCCAGCCTCCACCCCTCCCCTTTCCTGCTTTTATTATTTTCTTTTCCATAAAGATTAGTCTGTGTTGCTCCTCTATCAAGGCCTGGAGGATAAACACGTGGTCCGGAGTCAGAGAAACCCCAGGCCTGAAGGCCCCACTGCCCCCACCCCAGCAGCATAAACCCAGGGCTTTTAAGCAAGGAATGGTTTTCAGTAAATCTCTCCTATCAGCAGAAACCTTTGAAAGAGTTTGTTTAAAGGCCAGGGAGATAAACAGCAAGGAGAAGTGTTTGTTTAAGATGTATGTTCTGTGTGGCCACTCTGGGGCCCGGATTTACATCTCTGGGGAGAGGAGCCACTCGGAGGCCAGGGTGGGGGCCTTCCACAGGCACCTCGGGCTCCTGGTGTGGACTTCAGCCCAGACCAGGGACCCAGGTGCTCAGGGGAGGGAGGTGAGCTGAGCTGCACTTGCAGGACTCTCCAGGCTTGGGGCATGAACGCAGGGGCTGAAAGGAGCCGCAGGAGGGGAAGAAGCCCTGTAAAGGAGGGGAGGGGTGCCCAGAAGGACCTGCTGGTTGGAATGCAGGCAGAAATCCCCTAGGAAGCCAACACACACACACACACACACACACACACACACACACACACACACACACACACTGAGAAGAGGCTCAGGCAAGGCCCACCCCAAACGGCCTCATACTCAGCAGCCCAACACACAGCTGGGTATGGCCAGCTCTGTGACCTTGGACAAGCCACCTAACCCAGAACGAGAGCCCTAGTTCCTCTCTGCTGTGAAAACAACACAACTGCCTCAAAGGGTTTTGAGTTTTCCTCCTGTCATTTCACAAAGATGGCTTGTGCCCCTACTGTACGGTACTTGGGATGCGACCGCCAACAAAACACAGCCTCTGCCTTTTGGAACTTAAAGAGGAGGAAGATAGGCCACGAGCACAATAATCAGTAAATTAAATACTCTTTGGAAGGTGACATGAGCTTTCAAAAGAAATACAGCAGGCCTGGCCCGGTGGCCCATGCCTGTAAATCCCAGTTTGGGAGGCAGAGGCGGGCGTATCACAAGATCAGGACCAGCCTGACCAACATAGTGAAACCCTGTCTCAACTGAAAAAAACAAAATTAGTTGGGGGTGGTGGCACGTGCCTATAGTCCCAACTACTTGGGAAACTGAGGCAGGAGAATCATTTGAACCCAGGAGGCTGAGGTTGTAGTGAGCCAAGACCGCGCCATTGCACTCCAGCCTGGGTGACAGAGCGAGACTTCATCTCAAAAAAAAAAAAAAAGAAAGAAAGAAATAGAGCAGGTACAAAGACCTGGAAAGGAGCTTTAGGTTGGACGTCCTGGAGAAGGCGGTCCTTAAGGGAGATGCATGTATCTGAGGGGAGAGAAGCTGGGGCAGACCTCTCAGCCAGGGCAAATGCCTGGGGGATTGAATCCAATATCTTAGGGAAGGTGCTGGAGCATGGTCCTGTGCTCAGTAAATAACGACCAATATTGTCATTATCGCTGAAGCAGTTACTGAGGGCTGGGATGGGCAGGGAAGCATTCAGAGAGGATTCAGGTTGGAAGCTAGGTTTCCCCTGGAATTCCTTCTCCCTGCCAAGTGGAGAGAAAGGCTCCACAGAAAATCATCATGGAGGTGAGGAGATACGAGAATGATGGCAGATCCTTCCCCAAACCCAATGGTGCCCCAGAGGTGTAGAAGCCAACACAGCTGGATTCTCAAGGAAAGTTCTTGGCCTGAGTCAGGAGTCTGGGCTCCCATGCTGGCTCAGCCCCTTCTGGGGGCAAGTGATTTGAAGCTTCCTGGGCTCTTCTTTTCTCTGTAGTAAAATGGGAATAATATAATATCCCCCCTACACTGAATTGGTTGGGAGAATGAAAAGAGATAGGGTGTTTTTTTCTGCTTGGAACAGAGCAAATGCTCAATAAACATTGGGTTTGCATTTTAGGCCTTCCTGTGCCCTTTCAGACTCCTTTTGGGCTTTTTCCTGGGAGAATGAGCCAGATGGTGATGAACCCACTGGATTTCAGACTTGGAGGAGAAGACGTTGGACAGCTGAGCACAGTCACCACATAACTGAAGGGATGTCCCTCTGGAGAAAGCCTAGATTTGTGCCAAAGGGGCTCCAAAAGGAAGGAAGAAATTTCAATGGCACAGATTTTCATTTGCACTCAGGAAGAATTTGGCAGTGGTCCATGCTATTTATCAGCAGGATGGACCTCTATAGAGACAGTAAGTCCCTGCTGTTAGGAATTGTGCAGGCAGAGGTGGCTGTTTTGTGGGAGTTTTTTTGTTCTGTTTTGTTTTTTGAGACAGAATTTCCCTCTTGTCACCCAGGCTGGAGTGCAGTGGCATATTATTTCCACTCACTGCAACCTCCGCCTCCCAGGCTAATTTTTGTATTTTTAGTAGAGACAAGGTTTCTCCATGTTGGCCAGGCTGGTCTCGAGCTCCTGACCTCAGATGATCTGCCCACCCTAGCTCCCAAAGTGCTGGGGTTACAGGCGTAAGCCACCATGCCCAGCCCTGAGTTTTGGATAGAGGTAGAACAGAGAGGCAAAGACTCCTTCTCTGCGAAGTTTGGACCGGTTGGCTTCTGGGGTCCCTTCTAGCTCTGAGATTTGGGGATTTACCTCCATTCCTTGCCAGGCTTCACAGTCCATCAAGATCTACCCATACACCAGATTTTTTCCAATGCTTCACAGAAGCTTTGAATTCAGTCACGTGATGGGCCAGCACATCTGAGAGACGAGTCCGTGCTAAAGTTGGAGTGGTCACGGATTAGCACGTTAGTCCTTCCAGGTAACCCAGGTGTAGGTTTACAGGGTCTTGGGTCTGTCAGCTTCAAGGTAAAAGGAACGGCGGATCTTCCAGCACCATGGGAGGGACCAAGAGACAGATATGTTTGGGAAAACATTCCTGAGTAGTTTATCAAATAGTGCCTAGTACCCTCCAAATCCTTCTTACAATAAGATTCACTTTAGCTAAGATCACCGACCAGAGCTCAAAGGTCTGAAGGGTTGGAGTGCCTACCTTGGCCCCTCTTCAGGAGCTACAGGAAGTTGCCAGCAGATCTCTGGACACCTTCTCCCTGCCCCGTAGATGCCTTGCCAAGGAGAATCCGCTCGCCTGGCAGCTGCAAGCCAGCACTTTTCTTTTCAAAGCCTCTGAGTCTCTTTTCCCTCCTCCTTCTTCCTTCCCGCCTCCCCCCTCAACCCTCAAAAAAGGAGGATGCCCCTTCTGTTGAGTACACAGCCTGCAATTTTGCTGTCAAATCTCAGCCAGGAGGTCAGTGTTGTGACTGACTGTGTAAGGATCGCTCCCTTAAGGGTAATTACACTAAATTCCCCTCTGAAGGACAGCTCTCTCTGGATAGAATACAAGAAAACTCCGCATCCCCCATTCACGGAAATTCATGATTTCTGTGGCTGTCACTGGCACTCTGGCAGCGAGACACTTCGAGGTGCTCCAGCCACTCGGAGGTGAGTCTGAAGGCGGTGGCCATGCAGGACGCAGGCCATGGGGGTGGGCGGCCAAGCAGCAAGATGAGGGGGGTGGGGTTCAGAGGGACCCCTTTGGGGAGCTGGGGTCCTGGGTGGCTAAGCAGGAACTGGGCCACAGACAGGAACATCTCCATCTGAGCTGGCCATGCCCTGAATGAGGAATGCAAGGTCTCTCCACTGACATACCCCCCCCCCCAGAGGATACCCTACACATGCACTCATTCCTTTTTAACATGTTGCCTTAGAGCACCCACCACCTGCCCTGTACTGTACTAGGCACTAAAGGGGGACCCACGATTGGGCAGCTGCCCCCTCTGCAAAGAGCTGGAGCGCTCATAGGCAAAACAAAGCACTGACACGTGAAAGGTGAATAAATATCCAAGCCTCCTCCATCTTCGCATCATCCCCAGACCCTATCAGAGGAGCAACACCCTGACCCTTGTCCCCATCTGCCCTGAGGGAGGATAGCAGCTAGATCTTTCAGGTCCGGCAGCCCCATACTTCCACCCTCCCCACCCCAGGGAAAACCTGGAAGAGTTGGGGAGTCACTCACCCACAACAAACAGTTAAAAGGAAGAAAGCAGGTCTGGCGATATCAATGCACTTTGATAACAATAAACTCTGCTTTTAATTTATGCTAATGTGTAGGGCTGTGGTGACAGTAAGAACTAAATTACAGAGTGGCTTTCGAGCTGGTAATTATCCCTCCATTTTTCGCTGCTCTGGAAGATGGACACACAATTATGCTCTCTTGCTGTATATTAATACAGATTCTTGACATCTTCAGCAGACCTGGAGCTGTCATAGAGCTTTTTGTCTCCTTTAATTGAAAATTAATGGTTACTGGGTTGCCACGGAAACAGAGGCCACGGACGCCAATGGCGCTCACGTCTCACCGCGGGACTGGCGGCATCAGGAGTCCGGAATGACCTTGAAAGTTAAAAGAAAAAAAAAACTTAAAAAGAAGGGGAGAGGAGGGGAGAGGAGGACAGGAGGGTGGGGGTGGTGTTCATGTCAGAGCTGAGAGACAGAGAAAGAAGAGAAGGAAAGGAGTGAAAAGGGGGAAGAGGGAGAGAAAACAGAGGAAAGGAAGAGATTAAAAATCGAAAAGAAGAGAGGAAATTCCAGGAGGTTGGGAGTGCAGATGATGGGGGGAAGATTATATTGGTAAGTGTTACCTCTCAGCTTTTGCCTCTTACATCTCGTGCTCTTGCTTGCTTTCTCTCTCTCTCTCTCTCTCTCTTTTTTTTTCTTTAGATGGAGTTTCGCACTCCTGTTAGCCAGGCCAGAGTGCAGTGGCGTGATCTCAGCTCGCCGCAACCTCCGCCTCCTGGGTTCAAGCGATTCCCCTGCCTCAGCCTCCCGAGTAGCTGGGGCTACAGGGGTGTGCCACCATGCCTGGCTAAGTTTTTGTAATTTTAGTAGAGATGGGCTTTCACTATATTAGCCAGGGTGGTCTTGATCTCCTGACCTCGTGATCTGCCCGTCTCGGCCTCCCAAAGTGCTGGGATTACAGGCCTGGCACTTTTTCTCTCTTTTTTTTAAAGACTCACTGAAACAGGGAACTGGATCTCCACCTCAAACTCTATGATTCTACAAATCTGTTTCAGTCAGAATGTCAGCATCTGCTGAGGGTCTCCATGAGAAACAGAAAAAGGCTCCTTTGGTATCATGAGAGGTGGCAGGCAGAGCAGGGGCAGGGGTGAGGTATGCCACATGGGCACTTCCCAGGACCCAAGTGCGCTGTGCTGTCAGAAGTGGGGGGCAGGGAGGGGACCACTGCATGGGGAGCTGGGAGCTGCCACAACACTGCTCCAGCAATCATGGGCAGGTGAGAGGGCTCTGTCTGCTGGGCCTTCAGTTTGAAGACACAACAAAAGAACTCAAAAGAGTCAGAGATGGGGGGGCATGAAGCAGGAGGGTCCGGGCAGGGTTCAGTTTGCCTGGGAAGATAAGAGATAGAGGAGGGCCGCTCAGTGTCCCTCTGGGATGGCCAGTGGCTCTGGGCTTGGGAAGGTGTTTTCCTAGGAGAAGTTAGCAGGCAGAGCCTAAAAGCGCTGGGGACCCCTGAGTGTTCTAGCAGGGAAGGTGGTCTCTTTCCTCATTAGCCCACCTTCCCAATTCCTCACCCCAGGGCACCTGCTCTAGAAAAACAACTCAATTCAACCATTACTGGATGCCTACAGTGAACCAGCAGCCAAGCTAGACTTTGGGGTCACAAAGATGAATCAGACATAGATACTGCCTAGAAAGGCCAAAAATTGCAGCTGGGAGTAGACAGACATGAACAGACAATTGGAAAGTGAGCGATCCCCTCAAAGATTTCTCTGCAAGGATGTTCATCTCAGTGTTATTTAGAATAGCAAAAATCTAGAAATGGATGGATGGCCAGCAGGTGATGACTGACAAAATGATATGCCTTATACCCAAAGACAGACCACTAGACACTCATTTTAAATTATGTTGGAGAGAATATTTAGTGACCTGGGGGAAAGGTTCTCGATAGTTTATTAAATAAAAAAATTAGTTTACACTGTGGTGATGTATTCATGATTCCATGATCTCGTTCTAAACTTTTAACGACATGTGTACATTAAGCATGCCATGCTGTAATAAAAAGTTACATATATGTGTATGTAAATGTGTGTGTGTGTATTTGTGAATATGTGTGTGTGAATGTGTGTAACCATGTGAGTTTGTGTAAATGTGTGT